CTGTCAAGATATCTGCTATACTGTGCTACCCCAACCAGGGGATGGACCTTGCTTCACAATGTCACCTACGCTGCCCAACACTCTGTAGTTGGTATTTCCCTATTATTCCTCCTTTCATCACTTTGTACTTTTTGAATGTTAATCCTAAGGGAGCCTATGATTAATCAAACGTAATGACCCTGGGTTTTCATAGGGGTTCCCCAGTGGCTAGGTAAACTTTCATCATTAGTAGCAAGCTGGGGAACACCTATAAGAAGGGTACAGAGATGAACTTTTTCCCTGTCTTTACAGCAAACAATTTTTTTTAAAGATTTTATTTATTTATTTGAGAGAGAAAGCATGAGTAGGGGGGAGGGGCAGAGGGAGAGGGAGAAGCAGACTTCCTGCTGAGCAGGGAGTCCGATAAAGGGCTTGATCCCAAGACCCTGAGATCATGACCTGAGCTGAAGGCAGACGCTTAACCGACTGAGCCACCCAGGGGCCCGCTTTTTCCTGATCTTTAATCCTACCTCTCCCAATGCCAGAAATCCCTTTAATCGTCATAGTTATAAGCAAAGTTGTGGACTTCCTTCCCTTCAGCCCACCTGAAAAGAGGGCAGAGGACAATTCTTCTCTCCCAGGCCTCACTCATATCTCTACCACCCCAAGGATTTCTGCACTTAGAAAAGAAAGGACAGTTTTCATTAGTTGATCACCCTTCTCAAAACCATCTTTCTCATTTCTTGGAGGCAATCTCTCAAATAAACAATAGGAAAAGTCATACATAATATGGTAAGAGACAATGGATAATTATTATTATTTTTTATTTTTTATTTTTTAAAGATTTTATTTATTTATTTTGACAGAGAGAGAGACACAGCGAGAGAGAGAACACAAGCATGGGAAGTGGGAGAGGGAGAAGCAGGCTCCCCGCAGAGCAGGGAGCCCGATGCGGGACTCGATCCCGGGACTCCAGGATCACGACCTGAGCCGAAGGCAGTCGCTTAACCAACTGAGCCACCCAGGCGCCCCTACATTGACATTTTTATCACGGGGAAGGAGGTAGACACCTTCTAATATTTCCTACAAACATCTTCAAGGCTGACTTGGTTTTACTGAGCATAAGTATAAATGTGATTGAAAAACTGTTAAAGTTCTTTACTAAAGGAACCTGGGTGGCTCAGTCGGTTAAGTGGCTGCCTTCGGCTCAAGTCATGCATGATCTCCAGGTCCTGGGATGGAGACCCACATCGGGCTCCCTCCTCAGCAGGGAGTCTGCTTCTCTCTCTCTTTCGCCCTCTGCTCCTCCCCTCTGCTCCTTCTCTCTCTAACAAATAAAATCTCTAAAAAAATAAAGTTCTGGGGCACCTGGGTGGCTCAGTCATTAAGCGGCTGCCTTCAGCTCAGGTCATGGTTCCAGGGTCCTGGGATCGAGGCCCGCATCGGGCTCCCTGCTCCGTGGGAAGCCTGCTTCTCCCTCTCCCGCTCCCCGCTTGTGTTCCCTCTCTTGCTGTCTCACTGTCAAATAAATAAATAAAATCTTAAAAAAAAAAAAAAAGGTCTTTACTAAAACAGAAGTCTTATTACTTTCTGAACTTCCTATTCTGTCATTTCTCCCACTAAGCGTTTTTTCCCCTTGATTCAAGAAAACAGTTGAATAAAGGGATTTCTCATTGCATACTTTTTTTTTTTTTAGATTTTATTTATTTGAGAGAGAGAGAGAGTGAGTGGGAGTGAGAGGGAGAGAGAATCTGAAGCAGACTCCACGCTGAGCTCAGAGCCAGATGTGGGGCTCGATCCCACGACCATGAGATCATGACCTGAGTTGAAACCAAGAATCGGACACTTAACCAACTGAACCACCCAGGTGCCCCTCATTGCATACATTTCTAAGATGAAATATTGCTGTGAACATATTTCATCAGGTTCATTTTAAATACATCATGAAGTACTTTATTTTTAATGAATGTGATATCCTGTTATATTTTCTTTACATGATTTAGATACACAATTTTGGAAAGCCAACATAACTTAGGATTATTTTCCTTTCTCCTTCAGGTGATTTTTTATAATGACAAAATGTTTATCCTTCAATAATCACTACTTATCTATGGCAAATACAAAATTTTGACAACTTGCATTTGAAAGCTTTTGACATTTAGCTACAGTCTAGCTAGAAGGAAGTAAATATTGTAGGAATATAAGGTTTAATTTATTACCCAGGCCAGGCAGTAGCATACCACTGCCACTGCCAGTCAAAACTAACTAACTAAATAAATAACATCGGAGCAGTTTCTCACCTCAGGAACTTTATCTGACCTTTTCAGCCACTCCATGAAGTGGGTGCTTAATTTCAATGATGAGGAAACTAAGGCTTTGAAGAGGCTAACTGACTTATCTAGATCAACAGTCAACTAGAGGCAGAACCAGGATTCAAACCCAGGTTTGAATGACTGCAAAGTCAGGGTGAGTTGAAATTTAATCTCCTGCTAAGAGAATATAAAAATGCCTGGAAAGATGTTAATAAAAATAATAATCTTTGCTATCTCTAGGTAGTAAGTCTCAGATTGTTTTCTCACTTTCCTTTTTGTTTTTGTAACATACTATTTGAAATTCCCACACTGAGTAAGAAAGTTGTTTGTTTTTTTTTTTTCTAAAGAAAATCAAGCTCCAGGAAGAAAAAAACAAAATAAGCATACAAAAAACCTATGATTCTGTAACTTGAGTTTTGAAACACTCAGAAAAGTGCTCCCATAGTCAAGTGGGAGAAGAAGATATTAAAAGTAGGAGGAAAAACAGGATGGAGTAGAAGGAAGTGTTTTTGGACAGACTCATAGGGAAGCCACATGGTACGTCCCCTAGCCTACCACCTTTCTCTTAAGCTCTATTCACCTAGATGTCTACATCTTTTGACCCAGTGATTTTCTCTATGAATTTACCTTAAGGAAAAGCTATGTGCAAGAACTTATCCATGGCAGCATCACCTATTATGGAGAAAAAGCTGGAAACAATCTAACAGTCCAAAGCTAAGGCCTATTAATAAATTATAAAGATCAGATAAAAACAAGGATAATGTTTATTATATAAAATATACAAAAATAAGGATACACTATCACATTTATTTTTTTCAGTTACATTTTTGTTATTATATTTTCTCCACTTTTAAAGTCAAAAATTACTTAAAATATTTCCTTTAAAATGCCAGCATCATAATTATGTTATTAGAAGTAATAAGGATCAAATACATGGTGCCATAAGCCAGATCTAAAAGTCTCCCAGCTGGAAAAGGGACAGGAAGCTCCAACACTCTACCCAGAGGACAATGACATGGTGATGTAATTGACCACGGGAAGCAGTCCATTCATAGGAAATCAAGGTGGGTGGTATGATGAACAGAGAAGTTGCAAGCATATTAAGGCTGTAAAAAAGTACATATGCGCCTTCCAACTTATTAGGACATATTATAAGTACAGTGCAAAAGACTTTTACAGATGAAACCTCACATTTACAAGTGTAGCAGAGAAATATATGCAGAGGTAGTTGGACATGCATTAAAAAAGGGGCCACTAAAAATGGAATAAGGTATTTACCCCATAGTGAAGTACCCTCTTTACACTTTGCCACAAAATTCTGGAAATCCATAAAATTCTGGAAAATTATTTACAGACTATAATGTAAGATCCTTTCATAATCTTTTATTGCTAGAAGAAAAGAATACAGACTAAGATAAAACAGGTATGCATAAAGAACAAGGGCTGAATATTTTAGAATAATTAGGAGAGGCTTATAGCTGTTTGTGGTAGAAAAGGAAGACAAATGCAGCCTTAGAAGATACTAAAAACACAAAACAGTCTGTGAATATCATTGTTTTTTTTTTAACACCATTCTCACTTCTAAGTGAAATATGCTCTAAATTACCATGTACCTAATCTTTCAACTGAGCAAAAACGTGGTAACAGTGACTAAATATAACAATGAATAAATAAATGAGAGATTTGTTTTTTCTACTTCTGACGGCCTTAAAATATAGCTTTTTTCAAATCCTTTATTTTCTTCATAGCTAGTTAACTACTTTCTTTTCCCTGGAAATTGAGGAAAGCACAGAAAATCATGAGTGTAACAAGAAAATGAGGAAATGGATTTCTGAGGTGGCTTGAGGAAATGACTATCAGGTGTTCATAGTCAGTCACACCCTATATAAAAGCCTGGAGAGAACCAGAGGGGATCAAATTCCTCACAGCTCCAGAGAACATAAGGGCTCAAACAAGATGGGCATCCTTGTGGCCAACTCTTCAGTTTTCAGATATTTAGGCTCTAAACCTAAGTGGATATTTCCACTATGGTATTTTAAAATACACAGGGCCCCTGAAAGTCCTATAACACATAAAAAGAACTATCTGTAATTAGGAATGTAACATCAACCACTAACCTGAATTTACATGGGGTCTAAAAATAGGAGTCCTAATACTGCTGACCTTGGGACTTTCTGCCTTATATTTAACCCAAAACATTTACACACTTTAAGACATTTTCTTTCTGTTTTAGCCTTAGAGAATGCGAAGAATCACTGGCTGCTCTTAAGTCTGTGTAGTGATACTTCTTATACAAGGAAAGTGATTATATTTTAATAAAATGGAACTCTTTTCTATGAAGTTTTCTGAAGTAGTCTTTGGAGACTGGTTTACTAAATCTCGCATTTCCTTGCAGTATACTTTAACTTAAATGAATTATCCAGGTTCAGCTAAGGATTCCAAATGCACCAAGCCCAGAAAACTTGACTTCTGGTCTCATGCTACCCAACACATGCTTCCGCCAGACATTATGATTAAAGCAATCAACCTTGATTATTGTAGGTAGCTGAACCCAGGTTAAAAAAAAATCAACTTTAAATACATTCCACAATGCTTTACAGAAGCAAACAAAAACAAACGGAAAAAAAAAATGAAAAAAATCACAATTATTAAAAAGCTGATTTTTGTTTAAAACACCAAGCAAGGAATGGACATATGAATATTCCTAACCTGCAAAATGATTCCTCCACATTATATCAGCGAAACTCATTGGTGGGCCACTGGGAGGGTAGTGTTTACCTTTCAGAGGCTCATGATCAGTCCTTATCATATCCATTAAGGAGTTCTCCAACGAATGCAAGTTAAAAGTGTCATAGGGCCTACTCCGGTCCTAAAAATAAAAACAGAACAAGACAATACATAAAATTACTTCATAAAATTAATACTGTATCATTTGCTTCTTGCCATGGATTGATGACATGAATCAAAGTTCCAGATAGTTCTAATAACACACATTCTTTTCATAAGAATAATGATTTGGCAACATTAAGCTTAATACAAATTTCTACAATTAATTGCATCCTTTTCCCCAATATTCTTTAATGTATATGTCCCACTACTTCAGACTTTCTCTCAAAAGAACTTAAGAAAGTAAATTCAAAGGAAAGAGTCAAGTCAACTGACTTTGCCCTGAGCCCTTCACCCCAGCCTCCACCATCAAATAAACATTCTATTCAAATGAACAGAGAATTTTTTATCAAGAGGAAGTCCATAATTAAGAACTCTCAAGTCTACGAACAGAATCACTTTCCTGAAAAATCAAAAGGTGACTGTAATTACAATCTAATTTTATTGGGTATCTTTAATATTTAATACAGATAAGCTCCATACATTAGATATACTCTATAAAACTTAAAATATGTCCAAAGTACTACTAAAATTAACTTTTGAAAAGCACTCACATGAAAAAACTTTAACCCAAGATAGTGTTTTCATGATGCTAGAGTCAAAAACATTTTGAAAATAGAGAGCTAACACAAACTAAGTGAAGAAAAATCATCGTTCCACCATATTTCACTTGAGCCCATGGCAGACTATCATGTACAAATTATTTTTACTGGTCTGAGCTTAAGGGAAGCACAACTCATGGCTTAACATTACAGAATAAATCACATTACAGATTTAGTTTGCTTTTGTTTAAGAAAAGCAAAACAGGGGTGCCTGGGTGGCTTTGTCGGTTGTATCTGACTCTTGATTTTGGTTCAGGTCGTGATCTCAGGGTCTTGAGATCGAGCTGTGTGTGGGGCTCTGGGCTCAGTGCAGAGTCTGCTTGAGATTCACCCTCCCTCTCATCCTCCCATGCCCCCCACACACTCACATGGGCTCTCTCTCTCAAATAAATAAATAAATCTTTAAAAAACAAAAGCAAAACACACATTTCAACAACCACACCAAATCAAACTATAGCAATGAGAGATTATTTTCAGGGTCCTGGACAGTCTACCCAGCCCTGCAAATGATCACTTATCGTCTCCAAAGAACAACAATAATAAGTAACTGTCTGGATAAGCAAAATGGAATATAACAGGTAAAAAGCTCAACTTCAGTGACCATTTTCTAGTTTAAGTCTTACTCTTGGGAAGCTGTTTTTCTTCTGGTTTCTGGAAAGCATGGCTGTATATCTATTCAGTGAGGCAGAAAGGAAAGTGGCATTTCTGCAGCACTGAGCATAAAGGAAGAATCAGAGGATTATTGAATTCAAGAATGAAAGCAGTATGTATACATGCAGATCCTAAGAAGAACTGAGCACCAGGAGGCAAGAGTGCTAGAATAACTACTAACAACTGGGGGCTTTAGGGTACCATCATGATCTACCTCTCCAGTCTGTGCCTGAAATTCTTCCCTTTATACAAATAAGAGGACTGAGCTAGAGTCTTTCTTTCTTTCTTTTTTTTTTTTTAAAGATTTTATTTATTTATTTGACGGAGAGAGACACAGCGAGAGCAGGAACACAAGTGGGGTGAGTGGGAGAGGGAGAAGCAGGCTTCCCGCGGAGCAGGGAGCCCGATGTGGGGCTCGATCCCAGGACCCTGGGATCATGACCTGAGCCGAAGGCAGACGCTTAACGACTGAGCCACCCAGGCGCCCCGAGCTAGAGTATTTCTAATATCCCTTACAACTCTACACTTTTTTTTAAAGATTTTATTTATTTTTTGACAGAGAGAGAGAGACAGTGAGAGAGGGAACACAAGCAGGGGGAGTGGGAGAGGGAGAAGCAGGCTTCCTGCTGAGCAGGGAGCCCGATGTGGGGCTCAATCCCAGGACCCTGGGATCATGACCTGAGCCGAAGGCAGACGCTTAACAACTGAGCCACCCAGGCCCCGTACTTTTTTTTTAACTCAGAGATGAGGAGTAGGGGTGGAGGGTGCAGATGTTTTCAAATGCCAGAGACAGAAATTCTGTTTTTACAAACCTTTAATGCACAAGCCAAGGGTCAACTCCTGTACTAGGCCCAAGTGATTCAGAGATGAATGTTGAAACCCAGTCCCTATGTACAATTAAGTAGTAGGAGAGAGACATAACCAATTAAAATAAGAGAATGACAGGTGTTTTGACAGGGAATATGTACAGTACAATGGAAACTAAGACATCTATTTCTTTAAGAACATGTATGTATTATAATTTTTTAAAAATCACATTCTGAAAAGTCCCAGTTCTCCTGAATCTGACCAGGTATAGAGGCTTGTCTTAGTTATTCTCATTGGTCTTCAGTATTCTCATTGGTAAAATGGGATCTTAACTGTGAAGATTAGGTTGAAATTACTTAAGTATTTATTTTACTCACATTGTGTTTGCCAAAGAGCAAGCATTCAACATTTCTTAGTTTATTGCCACTGCCCCCCTCACTTGCTACCTCCACCCCATTTTTTTCTTTCCTTTTTTTAAAAGATTTTATTTATTTTAGAGAGAGCATGAGTGGGAGGGGAGGAAAAGAGTGGTAGGGAGGGGGAAAGAATCCCAAGTAGACTCCACGCTGGGCTGGGAGCCCAAATGGGGCTCGATCTCAGGACCCTGAGATTATGACCTGAGCCGAAATCAAGAGCTGGACACTTAACCGACTGAACCATCCAGGCGCCCCTCCCCATTTTTTTAACACTCATCAATTATCTGTCTACTATTGGATAAGAAAGAGACTTGCAATATTTTCTTTGGTTCTCCATTTTGGTCTCTATATAATTGAAGAAGGACTTTTCTTTTACCTTTAAGGTCTTCCTGCAGATCATTTGTTTTGTGCTGGGTTCAAGTTATCAGTGGAAACCCCAATTACCTAAGGAGTAAAACTGAATTTCCAGAAATGTAGGCTTATCTGTCTCTATAAGAGGTATCATATTCTTTGTCCAGAGGAAAAGCCACAGGTAAAAAAAAAAAAAAAAAAGAAGTGTACGGATGAGAAGTCAAAATGACAACCTATTTCTGGCACTGACAATCCTGGAATGGATGTCTAGGAGCCTTCTAATATATATACATATATATGTGTGTGTATATATATATATCTCCACGCTTCTACCTAGAGCCCTGCAGGCATGGGACTGTTTCAAAAAAGGCTGATAAGGTGAAGGGACTAGACGAAATGGCTGTTTGAAGGCATTCAAGAATCTTTCCAGTCAGGACAGTTTATTTTTTTCATTTAGTTCTTGATATAATCCTTCAAGGTAGATAACAACACACTCATTTCACACATGAGGAAGGCGAGGTTCAGAGAAGTTTCCAGCCTGGATCTAACCTCAAAGCCAATACCTAAGGAGTACAGACACAAGCCTGAAGAAATTGATCTAGTCCATACACGATAGTTAGTAAATGAAAGTTCTATAGAAGCACAGCATTGCATCTAACTACCAAAAATGACCTTCCTGGCAAGATGGTAGTTGAGTCCCTATCAGAAGATAATATTGGATTATTAGATGACTACCTGTCAGGAAAATTGGAGGGGGTGTTTGGGTGGGGACTCATGCATCTGAAGTGCTACTCAAACCTGTCAGATTGTCAAAATCACATGTAGAATGGTTAAAATGCAAGTTCCTGGGCTCCAGCTAAAACCAACTTAGTCATAATTTTAAAAGAAATGAGTGTCCCAGGCGGCTCTTTTGCCTGGCTAGAGTTGAGAGCCACTAGACTGGATGATTCTTCAAGTTAAGCCTTTACACCTGCACCTGATCTGTAAAATGAGATGGTAAAGTGAGGGAGGGACTAGAAGGATAGCAGCGGAAAGAAACAAGCCTGGCCACTTTGCCAAGGGTCAGCTTTACAGTCTTTTGATTGTGGGGTAGGAAAGCAACTGGTGGTCTGGCACTTATGAGTACATACTCTGAAATCAGCCACCTGATTCTCAAATTCTGGCTCTGCCAGTTGCTGGCATGTCACTCTGAACAAGTTTCTAAACCTTGGTTCATCCATAAAATGATGATAATTTTCCATATGGTTATTTTTAGTACTAAATGACAGAATGTACAACAAGGCATCTGTACCGTGGTGGCTACTGGAATATTAGGGAGAACACAAAGAAACTTCTATGATGCCACCTTACAGTACTGGGATATATTAAAAAACCAGAGGTTCACTAGTGCTCAACAGATGAAAAGATGACAGGTGAAATGCAGGACAAAATTTGCACAGGCTTCTTAATTGAACAAATTTCAATGCAGAGACTTATTTTCTCATTAAAATTTATTTATCTACGCCTCACTGATTTATATTTGCAGCGTACTATTCATCTTGTTTGTTTTATAAGTAGTAAACATTGCTAAAAATAACTGATTAACCAGGAAGCCTGCAAGAAACAGAAAAGGACAGAAAAACTACAAAATTTGCAGTGAAATTCAAGCAGAAATCATAGAGAAAATTAGACCATAATTTATCATTCAACAACAAAAGTTAGAAGTGGCAACTAACCTCTTAAGTTTTTTTTTAATAAGATTTGGTTCTCAATATAGGGAAAATAAGGAAAACATCTTTCTTTCATTTGTTTTTAACAAGCAAACACACCAGGAAGTATTAGAACATTTATAAATAATGCATCCCATTATTGACTCTTTCTTTGAAGATAACCAATGACAAATGCTATCAGTTAGTTGTACATAGAGGGAGCCCACTCCATTGTACAGTTCACTAGCCCTGCTTATTTTCTTCCCTCAGCTTGACTTAATATTAGTAAATTTATCAGGTATTTAATATGTGCTTGCCACTATTCTAAGCATGCTAAATGCATTCCCTCACAACTCTATTTTATAAATTAAGCAATTAAATCTTGGAGAGATTAAGTAACTGGCTCAATATTACAGGGCAGTAAGCAACAGAGTCAAGGCTCCAATCCACTCAAATCCAGACTGTGCT